CATAATACATAATTCAACATTAGGCATGGACAGTATCACTTATCTTCTTCTAACCAAGTATAATCAAAGGTCAGTATTGCTAATACTAATAAAAATAGTGATACATTTCTGTCTGTTCCTCACACAAACCAGGAGCGTCACATGGATTTGAGTGGGTAAATAATGACATAACTTTCACTTTTGGATGAACCAATTTCTTGAAATCCAAAATTATTTATGATTTACATCATATATTCATCCTCTTTGCTGTTCAATCCATTACTCAAGCAGCTCTCCTTGTCTGCTCTCTCACTCCATGTCTCCAGGGATTTTTCCAATCACAGGAGTCACTAAGATGTTCAAGCTGATGTCTGGAGTGAATGTAGTATAACAAGAGTGAAGTGAACTCAAATTCACACAGACACAAGCACAGTTCCTCTGTAAAATCCTAGATCCTTGCATGTATTTCTCTCAACTGTGTCAGACGGCTTGGAGGTTATAAATAAAAGTAGCAGTAAATGTAGAAGATAGAAGATAGACAGTTTTAAAATAATGCCATTACACATACCACATTGAATTAGTCATAATTCAATGAAAAAGTCATAATTGCAAGATATAAACTCAGAATTCTGACTGTTTTACATCTCACATTTCAGATTTTTTTTTCTCAGAATTCTTAGTTTACATTTCGCAATTCTTAATTTTTTGTTTCCGCCACGGAATAAAAAATTGAAAAAGGCAGTTGCGACTTTTTATCTCACAATTCTGACTTTTTCCTCACAACTGTGAGCTTATATCTCACAATTCTGACTTTTCTTCTCAGAATTTTTATATTACAAGTAGGGATGCACCGATACCGATACTGAGCTCGTACTCGTTAAAATGCCCCGATATCAAGCGCCGATACCACACAGCATGTGATAAGTGCCATATTCAGACAATGAAACACCGACAACAGAACAACAGACAGCAGAATGGAGTTATTAGAGATTAAGGATGTGGCGAGTACTGGAAAAAGTGGTATCGGTGCATCCCTAATTACAAGGTCTGAATTGTGATATATAAACACAGAATTGTGAGAAAAGCTCAGAATTGTGAGATAAAAAAAAAAAATCGCAATTCCTTTCTTATTTTTTATTCCGTGGCAGAAACAGGCTTCCATACAGTGCATACAGGAAGAACTAAAAATCATTATATTAAGCACAATGTAGTTCTGGACTAGTGGTCGACCGACATTGGTTTTTTGACAGCCGATGCCGATATCTTGGAAAGCAGGGTGGCCGATTGCCGATATAAAGCCGATATAATTTTATGTATTTTATTTAATATTTAAGAAATTTGAAATCATTTGAAAATGGATTAAAAAAATAAATGTGTAAAATAAACATGCTTAGTAAACAAGAAAGTATTATAATGTTTGACTTTCAATTACTAACAATATAAAAGCAATCGTTATAATACTTTTTTGTATACATTTTAATTCCTTTGTTTAACAGTTCTATCTGATTATTAGACAGACTTCTTGTTCGTGGACAGAACCGTTAACGACGACAGCGAACAAGAGGGGGAATGTGAGCACTGTGTGTTCAGGCGCTGCCGCAGCCGTTCTCAGCGCCGTCAAATAAATGTCAGACGCGCCGTCAAAAAATAAAAGTCCCGCCAATGCCGATATTTGAAAAATGCCAAATATTGGCCGATATATCGGCCTTGGCTATATATCGGTCGACCACTATTCTGGACATCTTTCTAACTTTACGCAATTACCGATGAGCCACATGCCTACAAAGACCTTATGCCAGCAGCTTATTACACTTCATAATAGCTCAGCTACACTTGAAGAAATCGAAATATATTCGCTAGAAGCACCTATTAATTCATTATAATAAATGAGCAATGTTTACTTTTCTAAATGATTCATTACACAGTGGAGCTCTGCTATAACAACAGATTTACAAAAAAAGGTTTAAATGTCCAAAGAGAGGCAAGAGACAGAAAAACAGGGTGATGAAGAATATGAGGAGGCTAATGATACACATCCTCTTTCTACTGTTGCTTTCCTTTCATCGTTCTACCAAACGCTGACTGAACTACAGGCACAATAATTGAAGCTACTAAAACACAAACTCCAGTGACTGTAGTCACAGCAAATAACTCCAGTGTGTGACTAAGCATTTATAAAAAAAAAAAATCCCATTATTTTCAGAAATCATTAAAACATGCTGATTTAGTGCTCAAAAACATTTCTTATTATTATCAATGTTGAAAACAGTTGGGCTGATTAATATTTTTTGTGGAAATTGTGATAGAATGTTTTGATGAATAAAACGTTGAACAGCATTTTAAACAGAAAACGTTTGTAACATTATAAATGTCTTTACGGTCACTTTTCATCAGTTTAATGTGTCTTTGCTAAACATTAAAAAATCTGAATGATGAATATCAATCAAAACTGCACCTGAATTTAAATATACGTATGTACAATATAATACTTAACTCCCAGTGACTATATTTAAAGCAAACTAAATTACAACTAGTAATTCAACCAGACTATAACCACAGCTACTCATAAACTACAGTGTCTAAACTTAGTCATAAAGTAACTTGCCTTTCATCGACTTAAACTATGTGGGCTCAAATTACAGAAAGTCATAAACTACAACAACTCAAATCACAGCTAATTTTTAATAAACTCAAATAAAGCAAAAAGAATTACTACCAAACAACAAAGGTAATATAATAAATTAGAGCTGATAAAACTGGGCCAGAAAGACACAATTTCTGGTGATATGAAATGAAAATACTTGGGAGAAAAAAAGAGAGAGAGAATTGGTTCCTGGTGCATTCTGGTGCATCGTGCTGCAGCATCATGGGAATATAACAAGCACTAGCTGAGAAGGAGATCCCCAACACACACACACACACACACACACACACACATAAACACTATGCACACGCTTTCTCAAACTCACACTTAAACACTGTGTTTAACACAATGACAGTGTACACAGGAAAAAATGGAGAGAGAGAGAGATATAAAGAGACGGAGAGGTGGAGCTCTTTCCTTTGCTCTGTCAGCTTTAGTAGGTTACAAGCATCATCTGATGAATATATTTTTCTCTAAATATCTTTCTTTCCTGGTCTCTCATCTACTGTCTCTATCTCTCTATCAAAGGGTTAAAGGTCAGTGAAGAGGGGTCACAGTGACATAAAACTCCAGAAACCTACTATGAAGGGGAGAGAGAGAGAGAGAGAAATTGTGTATATCTACCATGTGCTGACAGCTGACCTTTCTTAAAGCAGAACAGAAGGCTGGATAACTCCATATAATCTAGTTGGTTAGCGTACTGGTTAGGGTGCCAGTGATTTAAACCCTGCTTGTGGCAACGGCAGGTGCTTGGTTATGCCTTTACTCAACTTTCTCTCTGCAAGCAGTCCATCGGCTCGACCGTAACTGAGGAATGGTGCCTGCTATTCGTGTACTAGGGTTGTCATGATACCTTCATCACATAAATAAATGAATGAAACATACTGCATGCATAATAATGAATAAAAAAATAGAAAAAAATAACTTTTTTAAATCTTTAAGTTTTAAAACACTGTAATACTTTTAAAACTATTTAAACTAAGTTAATGCATACAGCACAAGGGTTGACACAAAATACTTCTGAAAAACTGACAAGTTCTGCAATGTGACACTATACTCCATTTAAAACTATTTTATTCATTATGATGCTTGCATTTTTTATATCTCATTTTAATTCAGAGACTACTTGCAATATCTGGAGTTTAAAAATTCATTGGTCTCACCACAGGACCACTTAAGAAGGGAAAAAACGGGATTAAAATTGCTGAAACACTTCATGACCACACAAAAACTAAGAAATACATACCTTAAATATTAATATAAAGTCTAACCAAAAATCTTGATGTTAATTAAACAAACAGTCCATGGAAACATTATGTGTCAGCTACTCACATACTCTTACATATAGACCGTGGGTGGGTTGGAGTGTCATGTGGAATATGCTGTGATTATTCTTACTGTACTATTAATACCCAGCAGCATATCTGGACCAGCAGTCTGTGTGTTACTGAATTACTGGATCTCTTTTCAAATCTCACATGAATTAACTGAATTTAATTAAATACCAACATTCCTGAGAGAAATCTCAGACCCCCTCCCTACACTTCTATGGAGTGACTGTGTGCGCTTAAATACAAAAAACGTATGTATGTAAAAGTGATAAAATTGCATACCACTCATACTGGAAGCCACAAATGATTTAGAAAAAAGACAGAATAGAAACAGCAGGAAATAAGTCTTTGCAACTTCCGGCACATGTGCCCTTCTATTACAGCCATTATAACACAGCATCACATGACCAAATACATGTGCAAATCTGACAAACTAAACATCCACGAATCTTAAAACCCCAACTCCTCAACTACGTGCATGCATCCTTACAGTGGCCCCAAAAACTATTTGGACACTCAAATTGCACTTAGAAATCCAAAAATAAGAAGTATAGTGTAAATATACTTATTATGCAAAGCATTTCACCAAAAAAGTCTTTTTAAAAGGTATTCATTAATAAAACAATAGATGTATTGTTTGAAATTAAGACTAAAATGTATTTGGATTTAGAAGTTACTTAGTACTTAGAATTCTGGTTGTCAAATGTTGGGAAAACTTGTCCATGTGATTAACTACACCTGTGGTTTCTCTGCAAGGACACCTGTGTGACTTCATACATACATTACCTTGACACCAGCCGGTGCTAAAGTAATGGCAAATTGGCTCAGAAAGGTGAAGTTAGTTAGCTTTAGCATCATCTGTTTGCAGGTGACACTTGGTTTGACATTTGCAATGACATCTAATGCAATGACATTTCAAAATGTATCCAAAAACTTCCAAATACTTTTTGGGGCCACTGTATATTTTAAGCTTCATAAATCTCACCTTCTTTACCCTCTGGACTTGTAAAAAGGGAATAAATGTGAATTAAATAAAGCATATTTACCAGGTCTCGTCGTTTTTGAACTCTAGCTCTCCATACGCGTCCTCGAAGTCCTCTCCACCGCCCTTAGCGAGTCCCTCCACTGTGCGGAACGGAATGATGACCGTCCCTCTCGCTCCTGACGTCCGCAGCACTTTCACTTCCATGATGCCCACACTCTCACTCACGTGCATGGACTCGCTTTCAAAAGTGAAGATGCCTGCATGGTCATCGTCGAGGATGGTAACCGTGGCAACAGCAGGGAATACTATCAAGGCCTTTGGGTACGGCAGGCTACTGGGCGACAACACCTCATCCTCAGTCTCCAGAACACGGACGTTACTGAGCCGCACAAAGAAATGCTCGTCCTCTTCAAAGATGTCGTCATCGATGATGCCAACAGTGATCTCCTTGACGACCTCACCAGGTTTGAACACCACCATGCCCTCGGTGAACTCATAGTCCGCACCAGCGTTCGCCGAGCCATCTTCCGTTTTATAATCCACATAGATTGTCTTTGCGATGTCGCCACCTTTACGCACTATTGTAAGCAGAACGGCTCCACAGTTCTCCAGACACTGGTAAATGGCAGGTTCGAACATAATGCGGGACACAAACTCCTCAGGTTCTTCTGCATTTACTTCTTGAACACTAGTGCTGCGTTTGGCCTGCTCGGCCACATGCTTCTTGAGGATGTTCCCGGCGCCGGTCATCATCCTCGTGGCCTGGATACGATAAAACGCTCTGCTTTTCTGTTGGTGTGACAGTGCATAATAGTTGGCCATCTCCACCAGCTGGTCAAGCTCCTTCTCCGGGTGTTTCTGCTTCAGGTCCTTCAGGATACGGATCATATCTCTGCGAGAATCGTCCACCTCCTTGCCCTCAATCAGGCCCATCAAATTACTAGCAGCTCCGCCATCGACAAAATGAGAATTCATCATCTTTCCGTCCATTTCGATACCTTTTGAACGGTCACCCTCCGTCTCAATAATGACGCCTCGGTGCTTGTCTGTGCGATATTTCTTGTGCATAAACTTGTAGAAGAGCAGGCGACGGTCAGCCACCCAAGCTAGAATGACACAGATGGGGAAGAACGCCAAGGTGAGAAGCCCTTCCCATACTTGGACTACGTTGGGCGAGAACACAGCCAGGATCATGTAGAGCCAGATGTAGGCAAATATGCTCCACGCCGTTGTCACGAAAAACACACGCAGGTGTTTTACCTTCCTGACCTCCCCTTCTGGGATCACCGACACGCACAGGCCGATGATCACAAACATGTTGAAGGCGGCGCTGCCTACGATGGTGGACGGGCCAAGTTCGCCAGCGTGGAACTCGTGCCCGCAAATCTCGATAACAGAGAGAAGGATCTCAGGGGTAGAAGAGCCCAACGCCATGAGTGTGAGGTTGGACACGGTTTCGTTCCACACTCGGATTGTCGTTGTTGTAGTCTCACCATTTGGACGCTTGATGATTATTTCCTTTTCCTGGGAGGTGATGACTTCAATGGCGGCCATGAAGCGATCCGCAATAATCGATACCCCCAGGAACATGTAGATCATTGCCACAAAGTACACAATGACCCTGGCGATCTTGTCACCCATGGAAGGGTCCTCGGGGTACCAAATGGGTAAGATGATGCCAGGCTGGCATCGATCTGTCTCCCTGATGCATGTGATGTTATTCGAGAGGGACGGGCTTGGCGTGACACCCGCCTCTGCGCAGAAGAAGGTTGCTGCCACGGAGACCAAGCCCAACCAGAGGTAGGCAGAAGTCTTTGTCCTTGAGCGATCCATGCACCCTCTTTCACCTCAAGGGTCTGTGATCTCTAGCTGTCCTTCGGGAATCCAGCACTGGGCTGTCTTTGGTTCCACACGCCACCTGTGAGAGAAGAAAAGCAGGGAGTGAATCAGAGAACAAGAAATCAGTACTTAACTAATCAAAACACCTTCCTAATAGCAGAGGAAAGACACCTGACATCAGCGGTCAGGAGTATGAGCAGTGCAAAAGTAATGTAAACAAACCCATTTGAGAATTCTGCAAATAAAGCCATAATACTTTGTTAGATTTGCAAGAAGTGCATGTGTGTGATATAATATGGTGAAATACTAAAGGTTCACACAGCAAAAAAAAACTAAAAGCAGGGTTGCTGCAGGATTTTTAAGCTCAAATTTAAGACTTTTTAAGACCTTTTTTAAGACCATTTATTTAAACAATTATTATCATTAAATTATTATATTAATTAAATAACATACAAACACATTTTACTGTTTAGATTTTTAAGAAGATGAATTATCTTCTTATCGATCCACCAGTTCACATTTACAGCTCTGCGTGTTTGCAGGGTAAAAACATGGGTCGATTTTCGCATTTGTCTGAACAAAAACAACCCAATGTTCCTGCAATACCGGAGGCTGTTCTAGGACCGCATTTCTAGGACCCTATTTTTTTGGGACAGCGCCATCTAGCCAATTCTATTCCAACAGAGGAGACCTGATTTAAACATCAAACAAACAGATGCAAAGAAGACTAGATCCAAGGAAACTATAAATTTTTTATCTTTCCATCTTATTTTTAATGTAAGCGCTAGAGTGAACTTGAGTGTTCGAGGGGGTGTCACCAATCTCCACAGCCTATTTAGCTGTGCAAAACAGTTAATTGTGCTACTGGATGTTGTAAATTAGTATTTGTATTCAAATTATTTTACATTTATTAAAGTACTAATAATCACACTAATTTGTACCGCAATTGTTTTACCGTTTACTGCACTTTAAGTGGGTTTAGGCTTAGGAGTTGGTTATAAGTGTATACAATTAAACAACTACATAATTCCTTAAAAAATAATAATATACAGAATTGAATAGCAAGAGCTATAAAATAGTATGAGCCGCTAATACATACATTCATACAAAAAATAAATAAATAAAATAAAATAATTAAAAAAAAAAAAACTATAGGGTCCTAGAAATGCGGTCCTGAAACTGCAGCCTCCGGTATAGCACATCAGCCTTATTGAAAATGCACATTCATTCTCTGCCAGCAGGAGGAACTTTCGGAACTGTGTCCCCTCTGTAACAGCAGAACACAAAGCAGCGAAATGTGCAGAGCTCCTGATTAATAAAATCATAGCCTTCTGAAGTTTAATCGTCACATTAAGCTGTATCGCAATTCTGGTCTGTACCCAAATTTAAGACCTCTTGAAATCATAATTAAGACTTTCTTGTACAATTTAAGACTTTTTATGACCTTAAATTTGAGTAAGTAACGAGTAAGTAAGAGAAAGTAAGTACTTTAATTTAAGTAACGGTGCGTTCCAAACGGGATATATCGCCCTCCGAAGAGCACTTCGGAGTGAAAACAATCATGGCCGC